CACACACACACACACTCAAACAAACACACACACACGCGCGCGCGCGCGCGCGCAGCTGCACACACCTTCCCTCTTTCGCTCTCTCCTCTCATTATAATCATACACCCATTAGTTCCCTTTTGTTTTTATGACACAGGTCAGGTCGGAGACTGGAAGAACTGGTTGACCGTAGCTCAGGACGGAGCTCTTGATGACGTCGCCAGGACGACGATGCCAGGCCTGTCCATCTACAAGCCACGATTTACTTTACCTTGATAAACTGATCAGTAAACCCGATATTAGTACCCAGATTTATAAATTTATTCGTGAGGCAGCTAACTTGGTGAAATGAGGCACTCGTCAAAATAATCAAAATGAAGAAACAGGTATTTTTCTGCAGGTTTCTGAATTTGTATTGAATTTTTGTTTTTTTTAGCTCAACACCTTTCATGAAGAATACATTTCTGTGTTGATTTTACTGTAAAAACGTTGATTAAAGGCACAAAAATGTAAATTTTCAATTTCCACGGACTCTCAAGCTAAGGAAATAACTAATCTTTGGCGGCCATTTTCTCGTTTATTTTACCTCTGAAACCAGGTGAACCCCACATCCTTCATTCGCAAAATGTCTCAATGTGTATTCAAAAGATGAGTGGATATTTTTTTCATCCAAAAGCAAGATAAATGAACACGCTTTGAGATGATACATTTTACTCTTCCCTTGTACCATCAGTTATACAAGGCAGAGAGCAGTCGTGGACGGTTGGCGGGTGCTCTGGTGTGATTTGCTCCTTCTTTCTAGTTAAACATCTATTATCCTTATCTCCCCTTCTTCTGTTTGTGTTTGTTACCCTCTTGTAAGACCTCTAATCTTCTGGCGCTCATATGACCTTATGCCGTTGCGAGCGCCTTAAAACCTGTACTAAAACTACAGAGAGCAGTCGAAACCACGTTTGTCTAACCCTGACTACTTCCTCTAGCTTTGACATGGGGAGGGGGGCTCCATTGGTTAAGTAAGAAGTGAGTTTAGACTCAGGTAATGTCGAGCAAGTGTCGGTGACACGGGGTTTAGATGGGCGGTCTCTGGGGTGTGTCCTCGAGCAAGACACGATAACCCTAGCTCAAAATACAGGGCGCTGCACAGTGGCAACCGGCAATGGCATGTTTGTAAAACTGTTCTGTATTTGTGTTATCGTATATTTACAATTTACGTATGTATTTATGTATCTATTATGTACGTGCGTATTTATTAATATGTATTTATGCATGTATATTTATGTTTTCCTTTGTAAACCAAAGTGCCTTTATGGGACAAATAAAAGTGTAATAAAATAAATCATCCTCATCCCTGACCGTACTCATACAATTGCCAGTCATTCTACCATTTCTCATTTTCCCATTAATTGGCCTCCTGTACAATGCCTAATTGTCATTCTCAAAACATACCAAATACCTCCATCTCTCCATGCTCATGGTCACACTACTGATATCTTCAATCCCTGCCTTTACCGACACAGTTTGATTTGTGACAAATGTTTTTCATTTAGATCTAGTTAATAAAATATTCGAATACATTATGTTTGAAAGTTTTGTTAATATTAATTAATTTTCTTTGAACGTGTGTGTTTCTTTTTCCTATACGGACATGGAATTTTGCACATGCCTACGAAAACACGTTTTGTATTCAAATTCAACGTAACAACTGTTGATCTCAACGCACTTTTTCGTCAGAGGTAGCCAGCGATCAATCAGACGTTAGCCATATCATCCCTTTGGCTAGAGTACATTGCGCAGTATTTATTTCCAGCACAATTTCTTCCTCCTCTTCAAATCGATGCCCACTTAGTCCCTCTTTGATTTGGGGGAAAATGAAAGTCGCGTGGTACTAAGAAGAAGAAGAAGAAGAAGAAGAAGAAGAAGAAGAAGAAGAAGAAGAAGAAGAAGAAGAAGAAGAAGAAGAAGAAGAAGAAAAACAACAACAACAACAACAACAATAACAACAATAACAACAACAACAACAACAACAGCAACAACAGCAACAGCAACAACAACAACTACAACAACAGCAACAACTAACATTAGTATAGCGCAAATTCCCGCTCAACGGCAAACTCTGTGCACTTTACAATCTCTATTATTGTATTATCCCACATACCTGATAGCATTCTCAACTTCCTGGGAAGCATATAGCGGGGATGTTCAAGCTTTTCATACTATCAGGAGTCCAGGTGGTCGGTGACCTTTCGAGCAGTGTGCACAGGCGCGTTGTCATGATGGAAGACAGCATCTAGCTCAAGCAGACTTAGCCGCTTTCTTCTGGTTGCTTGTCTCAGCTTTGTTTGAAGAACCATCTTATAATTGTCAGCATTGACTCTTTTGCCAACGGGGGTCGACCGTCTCAAAAACCACTCATGTATGTGTTCTAAAAACATGATGTGGTGCACTTTTAATTAAAGTACCTTGCTTGCGTTGAAGGTTCTAGGATCATAGACATCCTGGGTTTCTCCATTCTGATAATTTCTTCAGTTGTGGACCCCACAAATACAGCCATGGTTCATTATATGTTATGATTCTTCTAAAAAGGTATGTTCCTTTATTCTGTATATGATGAACAAAAACCACGTACACAACGCGCTCGGGCTTCCTTTTGCGCATCAGTCAGCAGATGAGGAACCCATTTTGCTCACTTTGCTTTCTTAAGATCTTCCGTGAGTTAAGTTTTGGTTTCTTTACTTTTGGTAACTAGCACCACAATTGGGTCATATGAATAAGCGTCGAAGATTAAAGATGTTACTAGAGAGTAACGTAAAAAAAAGAAAAGAGATAAGGACGATATATGTTCAGAGGCGAAGCGTCTATATAATCAAATAATCACTGCTTCCCTTCCTAATTTTGAACCATTGTCGCAGTCAAATTCACCCATAGACGTAAACCTCATACATTAAATGTAAAAAGACGTTCATAATCACCAAAGAACAATAGACTATGCCTAACCTTCAAACCGTTTCATTGCCACAGAAATAGCCTGTTCGCCCCTATCGGGCCACTTTATAAGCACCCAGACGCGCTGATTATCTAAGCGAACTATTACACTGGTCGAGTCTACCTCACAGATGTGAGGGGAACTAACTCCTAATAATCCTTTGACTCCTGCTACTACACTGCTAGTGCTTGTTTTTTTCCTCGACTTTTTAACGTCCTATAATCAGATCGTGACCTCGATTATGACAGCGGCTCCTGGCCGCGAAAAGCTAGACAAAAAACAGCCAAATGTGAAATAAAAAAATTGATAGTTGGCGTGCTCTACCAAAGTGCTTCGGCTGTCTGGTATAACATGCCATTGTAGTGCTGACACCTGTGCTTCTTTCCTTGGTGTTCGTGTTTTCAAATCTAAAATTAAACTTAAGGTTAGTTAGAATAAAGATTTAATGAAATACTTTCCCGATTATTTTAGCGGTTGAACAAGCATACAACATGAATTCAGGATTTGTTTTCATTCACAATTCAGAGTTGCCGCCTCCAGTGCCAGTAAGATTCTTGTGACTTGTGTGAGTGTGATATCCCCAGGCCCTATCTGGTCCCATTTCACTTTGTTGATTACCCTGTCAAACAAGTCAGCCTTCGCCCCTGTATATGTTTGACTAGAAAAAAGAAGTTACTAGAGAGTAACGTAAAAAAAGAAAAGAGATAAGGACGATATATGTTTAACTAGAAATAAGAAGTTACTAGAGAGTAACGTAAAAAAAGAAAAGAGATAAGGACGATATAATATGTTTGATTAGAAATAGGAACAAACAACACAACAGCAAGAGCCAGCCACCCGTGATTTTCAGTGAGAATCACATTCTCTTATTGGTCCATCTGAGCGTTGAAATATCACTGAACTTACTTACTCACATTTTCCTAGTCAATGATTTCATGATACAAATTTAATACGATCACTAATATAGCATTCTAAAAATGGTCCCACGACAAAAAATCTGGCGAGTAGTCAGTTTACCTCTGAAGTAAACATTATTCTCTGATTATAAACGGCTACGTTTAAAAAATTGGAAAGCCAAGGAAACCTCCCAACCAAGCCAAGCTCAAGAACACGTTATTTTGAATTCGAACTAGGTTAATTTTTACTATAGCCCAGCATAATAATACAAATGTAAATAAAGGTAGGGGTGCGCCTGTGACTTCTTTTTGATCACTCGTTCTAAAAGGTGTAAGACTGGCAATTCAATAATAATGATATGTATTGGAAAGGCACAGCTAAAGAAAAAAACGTTCCCATTTTGCCATCTCTTCCCAAGTACAAGACCGAATCAGGACAGATAGAACCTTTTAATCACCGCTGTGTTCAGTTCTACTACATTCCTTGTGGAGCACTTAGTTTAACCTTACACACCAGTCAGTGACGTCACGAGTCTGCGGTCAACTGGCCGCGAAGGCTTGGCTGATCAGCTCAGCCTGGGCCTAGCCGTCTTTCGTTTCAACCCAAGGAGATTAAAAGTAATGGAGGATGCTCTGTCGGCGGCACCGCACGCCTGATAGGAGCCCTCTCTCGCGGCGGAACTGTGGTCTATTATTGTTATTATAACATGTACAATGATAATGGTAGGCCCACTTGCATTTAATTTAGAAGAAGAATTGAGTAAGAGTTTTACGACATTTGCAACACTAAATAGGTTATATAAGTGCCGGAGATTACAGGTGTTAAAAGAGAAACATATACATAAAAAGAAGGAGGGTAGATAAGGACGATAGATGTTTAATGTTTATAGGGTTAAAAATTACAACATTAGCAATGGCAATTACAACAAAAATAATTTTCTAATAACTACGACAACAACTAAAAGACGAAACGTGGAAGTAGGGCATACAGAATACAACAATGTAACGCCACCACCAACTGCAACAACAACAACAACAAAATGAAGAAGGGACGAGGCGCATATAAAAAAATCCAACCTTATCGTGTTGCACAATCTCTAACAACCTTTTCGTGAGGGTCTTCATTTTCTTGTCGAGTTTGTAGCAGACGTTTTTTCACTGACGTTTTTTTGAATAATTGTTCAGGAAAATGTTAATCAATGGCTTGCTGCACTTTAACACTAGATCTTTAAAAGATGTATTGTATTCATTGCATACTCCAGAATCAAGTCCAAGATTACACAATCGTTGCCTTGTCAAGTTCATGAGGGTTTTTCTGTGGTTTTTACAACCAAGAAACTATTGTTCACATTGGGTGTCTCTCACGAGCACTTGAAAATCTTTGAAAATTTCCGTTGCAACGTCGATGGAGCGGTCAGAAGGCCAGTTTAAGCCACCCCTGTCCAACGCAGAGATATGTGTGCAGCTGTCCTCTGAACCCTCAACTCTCAGTGTTTTATCAAGGCTAAATTCAAATCGACACCCATCGCATGTAGTGTGTCGCAACACC